AGCTATAGTGTTTATTAAATATTCAATCAAAAAAAAAGTAATCCTTCTTCTCTCTTTTCAAGTCAATATTTTAGCCATGAAACATAATCGAAAAAGTGTCACTCTTTAAAAAATGATGATGCCTTCATCACGATTTAATATACACTTGATGACTGAAGACGATCGTATTCCAGTATTAAATCTATTAACCAAATCATTTTTTCATGAAGAACCTTTGGCTAAATGTCTTCAATTGGGAGAACCAATGGATTTCGCTAACAATGTTATTAATGATACTTTGAAGGATCAATGTTCATTTGTTGGATATGATATACAAACAAATCAATTGGCAGGTGTTTGTCTGAACAAAGTGAAATATAAAAATGATACAAATACAATTCATGAACCAAATGAAAAACTTAATTTTATTCTTAATCTTCTTCATCATGTGCATAAAAATATTAATTTATTTGATCATTTTCTAACCGATTCTCTTCTTTATATATTTATGATCAATGTTGACAGTAATTATCGTGGTTATGGTCTTGCTTCAAGTCTTATTTCAGCTAGTATTGAACATGCAAAAAAATTTCATATTGGTGGAGCTTATGCTGAAGCAACAAATATTTATTCATTAAATTCTTTTAAACAACAAGGTTTTCAAATTTATGATCAACTTAATTATGTTGAATATGATCATGTTCGTTTAGCTAATCTCACTGATAAAAGTTACGATCAATGTCAACTTGTTGCCAGAACACTTTGAACAAAAATAATAGATCTACCATTATTTATGTAGAAGTCTAAAAGAAACATTGCAATAAAAGAAAATTTTGATCATCAATGTGTTTTTTGCTATGAAAAAAAAGAGAAGAGAGTTAAAAGTTGAGACTTATGTTTACATTGTTGAAAAATGCAAAGTATACGAATGTTGTTTTCATCGACATCATATATTATTCACAAGACGATCATTTAAAAGAGGACAAGCTATAATTTCCTATATCTGAAATGTGCAGAAGTTCAGAACTATCAAGTAGAACCAAGAAATGGGAAAGAAATACTCCTTTATACATGTTTGTTAACAATAAAGACGTTAGTCGATAATGATTGTTGGAATTGGTTGTTATAGAATTACTAATTTTGTGCATATTCACATAAATTGACAATTCCATTCCAATAGTTTGAAGACCAATGCTAGAAACGGACAAATAATGTTACGTTATCAGTTATCAGGCAACAAAGTAAAAGAAAAATCTTGGATTTCATTCTTTTGTAAAGGAAAAATTATTTTGTGAAAGTAGCGACTTTTCATAAAGTTTGATCAAAAATTTTCAGAGTCGAGAAATCCAGATCTGTAATCGTTTTCTCAGCATTGTGTACTTCATCTCTCGGTCAAGTTATCTTTACATCAAAGACCTTCGATTAAACTGTATAAAGAAAAGTACTACTTTTGCAAAATAAGCTATCCTTGACGAAAAAATCAAAGGCAGGAATTCAATGACAATACCCTATAACCATTTAATGTTTCTTCTGTACTAGATGTAACAAATTTTTATTAGACAGATCATACATTGTCGGATTTAATACTGAAAATTTCTTTTTCATTGCCTATCTTAATAGAAAAAGAAAGTATATTATTAAGTAGAAGCGCTGTAATATCGTTTCCCACTTTGAATTCTGCTATGCTGATTTATATAGTTAGTTTTCTAGAGAACATGCGTTCTAAAAGAAAAAGAGAAACACTCGTTTATAATAATGAGTTTTTTTGTTTTATAAAACTAAAAAATAGAGCAGTTTTATTAAGAAATTGATAGTGATATGAAGCGAGTAATCGATGACATTTTCTTTGTGCTATTTGCTCTGTTTATTTTCAAAACTATCATGTTCTTGTTCTTTCTTTATCGTATTGTTATTGTTTTCTTTTTTTTTGTAACTGTTCGTACCTTATGAAACCTTTTGTCTTATGAATGTAACTCGATAATTTTCCTCTTGTGCTTTTTTGTTTAATATGCTTTGTGCTTCGCTTTTCCTCTCCTCTATTTCTCAATTTATTATTACTTATTGCTGTTCTTTCCTTTTTACTTTATGCCTCATATCTATTGTGCACTACACTGAGACAATACAAATTCATCATGTAACTATTGAAATATTCGTTCGTCACAAGCCTCTTCATACAAGTCAATTTATGAACACTTAGAGTAACATAATACTTTTCTTTAGTTTTACTTGCTAGTATCTTTGTTCTAGGTTATTTTGTATATGTCCTTTTGTTTTCTTTTTTTGATTCCAAATAGTTTGTCTGTATTAACGCTTAGGCCATGATATTGAAATAGTGGATAACAGAAATTACCTTATAAGAAATCATCATCACTATAATTGAAAGTCTCATTTGCGAAATATATCACATGTATGCATGTGTAACAGTTCTCTTTTCTTTCACTGTGGTTAAGAAAGAATAATTTATGTTTAGTATTATCTTTGCACTTGTGTTGAATACTCTACTCGAAATACTTTTGAAAAAAACGATCTCTTTTCATCAAGCCTAAGAGAAGAACATACATTGTTTTACTATGCAATTTTTTCAAGTATCACGCGCTATATCGAACTGATATTTCATTCATCAATAGGATTGAATAAAACTAGTAGAAATATTTCACAGTTTAGACTGAAATCTTAGACAGATCAGGTGGACTGTCTTGTCTGTTGTTTTTTTCGTAATAAACTGTAGGTCTCAAAATAAATATCAGAGAATTTCTGCCGCTGAAAGCTGGAAAGGACGTTAGTTTATCATTTTGACGCGATACAATCACACTTAGTCATAAATAATGACTAAATTATCCATTGTCTGTATATTCATTTAATTTGTTCATTTCGATAACTTATTAATTGCAGTTGCTAATACACTATGATTATTATTTTGATATGACTTATATACTAGTTTTTATTGCTTGTGAATCACATTTGCATCGCCATAATAGGACAAAACTTGATATATATCGTCTTCAACTGATTTATTAAATGCACTGATAACGTTCTTACTTAACTACGGAGTTTTGTTTGTATTCGTTATAATGTTTTCGCCTTTATCTTTATCTTTTCCCGACATTTACTGAATGCATCAAATCAATAGATGTTTTTCATGATGATGTCAATATTAATATACAGGCATTCTTTACCTTCTTGTAGATGTAGTCTTTTACTTCAATTCAGTTAACTTCATAACGTCAATAAGTAATATAAGGGTATACAGGTTGCAACAGGCAAGCCAGGCCAACACAAATGAATCATGTATGCTTAAGTGATGATTTATATATTTGGAGTTATGATCGTTTTTTCAATTTTTGTTATTTGAGTATGATATTTATAAAGATTATCTAACGAAACGTTGAACTGAAATTTTACCCATAGAAAGATCTCAAGATCATTAGAACGTTCTGAAAGTTTCAGTGTCAATGAACTTTTTTTTTGTTCGAGATATTGATTGCTCAAGACAAGTCGATTCTGATCATATGCATATGAAACTGAATCATTATTTGAATACATTCAAAATCTCGCGAACAAAGTGCTTATTTTCGCTATAATTTTCAGGTCAACTATTCATTAGGTAATTTTTCATAAACATCAAAATTAGCAAACAAAAGCTCAAAGAAGTAATCATAACTTCAGATGAATAGAGCTCCATTAAGAATTCGTTTAGGCTTCTACTAGTTTAATTGGATCTTATTTATAAGCAAAATATTAGCTCAATCATCACGTTACATATGGAAATGTTTTATTGTTAACTACATGAGTCATTATTCTAGCTTGACTATCTGCGACCTAATAACGGTATTCATCAAATGAGTATTCGAAGACTTTAAATACTGATGCTAAAATTTGAGTTCGACAATTGATTATTCACTGTGTCATACTGAATGTTTCGTAAGTAATTCTACTAGTTTATATAAAATACTCATAGGTCTATATTCTATTCAGGATTCTTGTATTAAATCAATTTTAGTTAGATATAAAGTTAAATAACAAAAAATGCAGACATGTATTACGAAAATTTTCGAACACAATTAATACGAGTACTATAGTTGTTGCTTTATCTTTACACTTTTCAACTCAAATAATAGAATTCGAGAAATTTTTATCAATATAGAAGACAGCAAAACATTTCTCTAATTTTGTATATTTGCTTAAAAGATTTTATTTTTATACTAACAAAATAAAGAAATACCTAACTTTCTGCATTTTATGAAGTAAGAGTACACTAAAATATAAGAAAAAAAAAATAAAAAAAATGTATTATTCTATTGAACAGAAAATATTATTCTATTGAACAGAAAAATTTGATTATATACCAAATAAAATTATTCAACTGTAATTTTATCCATCTATCTTCATGATTTTATATCACAATGGCATTGTAAAAAAAAAAGTTGTTAGTTCTTTTTGTTTGATTGCATTTTAATATAGAATTTATTAAAATTTAAAAAATTAAATCTTAACAAATTTCTATCAAAACATTTAAAACAATATTCATTTTCATCGGACACATTAACAGTTTAAAATGAAAACACGTTTTCCGTTTTTTTTCTTAAAATCACCATTCGACAAAATCGTATAACCGCTAAAATAGCTTCCTTCTGTTGTCAGTTACATAATCTTATTTTTCTTTATTGCATAACATCAATCTATATTGGTATATATAAGTTCATAAATGTTTTGCTACATATTCAGCGAGAAAATCAACATGAGCATTACATATTGAATACTCACGTCATTGCTTATGAATAAATCTGTAGAAGAAAACTCGTGTAAATACATGAATAGTATTCATGAACATAAAATTGCTTGAGTACTCGCGTACAAGTCATTTGATTACTCAAGTTGGTAAGTCATAATCGCTTGTTGAGTTTTTTTTTTCCAGGATATATATTTTTTTCTTTCTTGTGCGTATTGCTTCTGTATAACTTTCCTTGTCGAACAGATACAGTTGAAAGATTTATTTTCAGAGGAAGCGATTGCAAAAAAAAATGAAATTCGATGATTTTTTACATACAATTAATGATTTTGGTCGATATCAAAAAATACGATATATTTTTATATGTTTAACATATATGCTGCCAGCTAGTGAGTATCTTCGAATGTTGTATTTGTAATTTTTCTTTTTAATGATTTGAACTTTTTTAATTCAGTTATGGTTTATACATGGTCATTTACTGCTGCTAAACCATCATTTCGATGTAAATTAGCGGACAATGATACTATTTTTAATAGTGATATTCCAGATTTATTCAATCAGAGTCAGCCGGATGAAACATATTGTAAAGCAAATATGAAGATATCTGTTAAAGAGTGTCAACGATGCTATAGGAAAATAATATCAGAAATAGGAACAATACAAATTGAACCTTGTAAAGAATTTGTTTTTGATCGAAAATATTATCAAGATACACTAGTTGAAGAAGTTTGTATCCATTCTCCTGAAACATAAAAAAAATAGTAGTTTTTTTAAATTATTTTCTTATATTAGTGGTTAATGGTATGTGATCGAACTATATTTCGTTCAATTGTGCAAAATATATTTTTTATTGGTTATATGGTTGGATCAATTTTTTTTGGCATTTTCGCTGATAAGTAAGTTGTTTTTACATGAATTTATTTCCAAAAATGCAATAGTTTTTATAAATTTCATTGCATAAAATAGCATATTAAAACTTTGTCATGATTTAAATCATCCTGTGTAAAAGTTAAAAAAACCACACTTCTTTTGGATTCTGAAGTTCTTATTAAAAGCAATATAAGCATTTGACATAGTTAAAGATATGTTAGCTATCGAGCGACGTCTAAAATAAAGAGATATTAATGTTTTTAATATGTTCTCCTTATATCGAGTTGATAATAGCTTTGTATTTATTTTACCTCAGTATTTTAACACAGAAGTCAATAGTACTGCATGTAGGTATTTCCATATAAAGGAAATGATTTACTACTTTGAATAAGATAAACACAAAGATCATTTCTTGATGAAAATTAATTGGTTTAGCTTAGCAAACGATTGCATTTTTTCACAAATATTATCTCGATTTATTATTTTGTTTTCTTGAGATATGGTCGTCGACCAATTATGAGCGTTTGTATATTGTTAATGGTCGTTACAGGATTTATTTGTGCTTTCTTTCCACAAAAAAAAGCATTTGGATTCTGGCCAAGCTATATAGTATATACAATAAGTCGTTTCATTTTGGCTTGTTCAACTAGAGGCATTTCTGTCACTGGATTTGTACTAAGTAATTATATTTTCTTCTTTTATCTTAAAAATAAAATTGAATTCTTTTGAATATTTAAGAAGATTTTCTTTGAAGATCTAAATTGAAATATATATTATTTTTTATTTTTGTGTTATTTAGTAACTGAATTAGTTGGTCCGAAAAATAAATTTCTAACAGCAATAAGTGCGAAATATTTTTTTGCTATTGGTCAATTATTTCTGGTTGCTTTTGCTTATTTCATTCGTGAATGGCGACGATTATCGTGGACTTTATCTATATTTACTATACCATTTATGTTCTTTCATTTGTAAGTCAATGTTTTCCTTTTTTTGTTTTTTTAGAAAACTTTATAAATCTATTCTATTGAATTTTCTAGTATATTACCTGAATCAGCCAGATGGATGATGAGTAAAGAACATTATAAAAAAGCTGAGAAATTACTTCGACATATTGCAAAGACAAATAAGCGACCATTCGATGAAGAAGCATTTAAACGACTGAAAAATGAACAAGAAAAAGTATATACGACAAATAAAATGTTCCTAAAAGACACTAAGACGCTAACTAATCGAAAAATAAATCTAAGTCATCTGTCAGTGTTTAAAAAACTTTCAATATGATTGTAGAACTTATTCCTCATCATTACAGATCTTAGCCGCAGAGTCTCTAAACGACGCAAAAATGCACTGAATGGCATTGATGGTACTAAAGATTGCGAGTGTTTTAAATAGTGAAGTTTGAGATTTTTTGTGCATATAAAAATTTAAATTTAAGATGTCAATGATAGTGGGTAGTCATGTATTGAATTGTTACAGTCATTCTATGATCAACACAAAAAAAACGTGAATTGATCAAGTTAGAACTTGAGAAAATAATCAACATTAGTGTTTGTACGCTTATCAAGATACATGTCATAGTCCATTGAAAAAAATTGTACGATAGTAAAGAATAAAAAAGTTTCTGTTCAAAATGCAGAAATAAATAAAATAGATCGCTTCTCTGACAATCGATTATCTTGAAAAACAAATATAATCTACGAAAGACTCTTCATATGTGTGAGTTCTACATATCAGCCGTAAAGCGATTGCAGTGATAAGCTTTGTTCTTTGTAGTTTTCACAAAATATGTTTCTTAAATAATTTGTTTTATTAGAACATACTTTGTCAATCACAACAGATTGGTGTTCTTGCTTTATTTCAAACAAAAATTATGTTTATTATATCAATTAATTTATTTTTTCAATGGTAAATTTTATAAACATTATTTTTTACACGAAAATTAATCTGATTTATTTTATTAAGGTTTGTTCAAAATTTAGTATTTTATGGAATTTCACAAAGTACTGGTTCTTGGGGTTTTAATCCTTATTGTAAATGAACAATATATAAATTTCAACTTTAATGATTATTTTTATTAAACATTTAGTATCCTTTACAATTTCGGCTCTTGTTGAAATACTGTCTTGTATGGCAATACATCCTTTACTTAATCGAGTAGGACGAAAATTGCCATATTTTATTGCTGCACTTTGTTTTGCTATTATCGCATTATTAATAATACCGATTCAAAATTCAATATTGAAGAATAGCCAACGTAAATTTTATTTATGAGCTCTTAAATGTTTTTAAATATGATTTATTTCTTTTCATTCTAGAACAACGAGTACTTACATTTATATTGAATGTATTATTAAAGTTTTTTGCATCTGGTAGTTACAATATTATTTATATTTATGCAAATGAATTATTTCCTACACGAATAAGAAATACTGGAATGGGTATTTGTTCAATGGTTGCACGTAAAAATTTTTTTTTTGCTTTATAAGATATGTAAAATTCATTATTACTATTATGACTATTAGGAATTGGAGCAATAGTTGGAACAACAAGTAACGATATGTTGGTAAGAAAGATATTGCTTTTTATTGTCTCAGGAAAAGTGCAAATGAATAGATAAGAGAATTTTTTTCATTATGTTTTATATGAACAATGCAATATCTGTATAATTCTCTTGATTTTAGACTCGTGTATGGATCAATCTTCCTACAGTTATATATGGACTTTTATCTCTCTTAGCAGCTATATTTGCTCTAATTTTACCAGAAACATTGAATAAGACATTACCACAAACAGTTGAAGATACCGAACAAATGGGTTTAGCTTGGTATGTTGTTTATTTAACAAACAATGTGAATTTGCAAACTAAATTTTCAATTATCTGAATATTTTATACAACTCTAATACAGAAATCTAGATGCATTGATTTTTCGGGCAGGATTATTATATGGAAAACCTCATGAGTGAGGGTGTTGTTGAATTTCAATATCTTGTTGTATTATAATTGATAATCAAATCATAAAGATAATATTCTTCATTCAGAGATAAGTCGAAAATTTTCATAAGAATCAAAATAAAAACATATATATGTGCCGTTAATTATTGAGAGATATCTCAGTTAGCAACGATCCATTTAAGTAAAATACTGGAAAAAAAAACCTTGCAATTCGTTTTTCTACACTAGTTTTTTTTCAGCAATAGCTGATTATTTTTTATTTGAATACTTTTAGCATCCGTATTCGTAGTGTTCGACGAACTTCAAACATAGAAGAAGAACAATTTAATAAAAAAGAAAATCCAAATTCAAATGGTACTCATATGTTGAAATCAACATGTGAAAGCAATCGACATAGTAATGAACATGAAAATGGAAAAACAAATAATCATTTGATTGATGCACAGCAAATCACATCAGCTTAAAAAATGATACATACACATTTCAATAAAAAGTACTGTTTTTGAGCTTGAAAACAATATATTTCCGTTTTTATCAATTAACACAACGATATTCAAATATCGATTTTGGAATAGTTATATGTTTATCGTTTACTATATTCTTATTAGTAAAAATCAATTTTTATAATTATCAGTCGTTTATGTTACTTTATTGCTTGTAGAAAAGAAATTGCAGAGAGACAAAAAACATAAAGTTGCAGTCAATATTTTATATCACTATCTTTCCATTATAGAAATATATATACAAATGAAGTTTTTTTTGCAACACGTTTCGTCAAGTCTAAGACAACACCTTTTTCTACACTCTGTTTAATATGTTTAATGTCTCTGTCGATTCTGTTTACTTCAGCATACTCACTTGTTAAGAATAAAATATATTCAAAAAAAATATCATGCGGATAGTATTTGTCGTACTAAAACGGGAACGTTTTTCGACTGATCAATCAGTTTGGAATTCGGACTTTGTACATAAGGTAGGCATTGGCAATATATGAAGAATGTCAAAAGAATAGATCTCCGTAGATTTTCTGTGCAAAGTTATAGGCATTGTATTAGAAATTTAGGCTCTGACTTGATATACACCAACTACTCGAATGACGGTATTTTGATCTAAGATTATCTATTCCTTGTTCTACTGCTAAACAATAGGTCTACTGTACAATAATAGAATTTCACAAGAGAAACTTAGGAGTGGTCTTATTTTTTGTTTCCTGCAATATAATAGGTAGAGACACTTCGTTAATTGTTTAGCTATATTGTTCTTATTGAAATTCATTTGAATTTTATTCATGCAAGAAGAAAACGAATCAACTAAAGTGAACATTTAAGAAATAACACAATCAGCCTGTTCTGTATCAAGTTGAAGTATAAAATCTTGATTTTGATTTGATATATTTTGAAGACGTTGATTATCTTCTTTTGTTAAACTACAATTAGATATATCCAATCGTGTTAATGTTTGATTATGTTGAAATATATCAATAAAATACGAAACACTTAAACTTGTTATCAATTTATTTTTCTTAAGGGATAATTCTTGAAGTGTTTTATTATGATGAATAAGTGTATTAGCTAAAAAATGAACACCTTCATCACTTATTCGATTACAATCTAACCAGAGTACAATTAATGTTGTATTCGTTTTAAGCATTTCAGCTAATAGTCGAGCACCTTCATTTGATATTCTATTTGAACCAAGATGAAGTTTTTGAAGAACTGAATGATTATCAGATAAAAGTTTAACAAATGGATAAAGACCTTTATCACAAAGACGATTTCCATAAAGATTTAATCCGATCAATGTATTATTATTATATAATGAATTAACTAAAATATGTATACCTTCTGAAGTCATGTAATTTTTATCTAATCTGAGAATATGACATTGTTTTTTAATAATAGCATGTTGAACAACAAGTGAAATATCTTGATCATCTAGATATTCATTTATTAATTCAATTGATGAGTATTTCGGATATTGGTCAATTTTATTTTGAGTTTTTAATGTACGATCAATATATTTTTGTATTGTTTCAACTTTTAATTTTGATTGAATATTTGTATTTGATAGATTTAAAAGAAGACTTGCAGATAGAATTTCTTGTTCATTTGATCTATTAGAAATTTGTAAAAGAGGATTATTTGATTGAATTTCTTTTAAATAAATAATATTTTGATTATCAGTATTTTTAACCGATGATATAACTTTAAATTCCGAGGCAGCCATTAAAAGTATTTGATCTTCATTTAAAAAATATGAATGTTTTCGAATATCTTTTCCTGAATGACAATCAATACTAAATAAAGTATGTGTCTTTGTTTGCTGTAAATATTCATTTGATTGAAAAGTCTCAAGAGATAATGTACATAATGAAAAAGCCCACCATATAAATGTATTTCCTATTGGATATCGTTCAGTTAAACCTATTTGAACTTGTCGATAGACAATAACAGATATTGATGGTAAACGTGAAAGTGCTCGAATAAATAATGTTAAATATAAAAACCAAGGTTTTAATTTTTCTCTATCATTTGAACGAAGTGTTGCATTAAGAACATAATATAAACATTGTTCCATTGGTTGCCAATCCATAGAATAAAGCATTATTGAAGCAGATTCATCTTGTGTTAATCCATCAGCAGGATCTTCACATTTTTCCTTAGCAATGAAGACGAATGTTTGAAGATTTGGCAAAATAGATATTAATGGTTCAATTGCTTTTTCCAATGAAATACTTGTCTTTTGATCATGAATACAAATAGGTATGAGAGGTGTCAATGGTTCTTGAAAAATATCATAACTACGTGCTTCTAGTCGTTTTATGGCATCATCATTTATTGAGATCATTATTTTATAATGTACTAGAACAAGAAAATTTTGTTCAATATTTTCCTCTTCAACATTTTATGTCTTGCTCACCTTATGATAAAATAATAAATTGTTTGATAAACATACAGCTTGTCACTTATGCTTTACAGAAAAAGAAAACTTCTCTTCTTATCATCTATCCTTCAACAGGAGATATCGCACTCGATGACAGAACATTGAAACGAAGAAGATGACATATGCATCTTTGTAAAATATCATCTCGGCTTCATAATTCAAGACCGTCCATGGATATTGTCCATTGATTTCAATAATCTATTAATAAATAATGGAAGATATTATTTTCTTAAAAAAAGAAGTTTAAAATGGTTTCAGTTGTTATTATTTTTTCCGAAGATATATAGAACACTTTCATTAGCTGATATATCTTCTGCACAGAAAAAATTATTTAAAGACTTTCTGAAACTATTAGAGGTTTTTTTTTGTTAATGACACGAAAAAAAAGTAAGGTCAATTAGTTCTATCGCTATTTTTTGAGATGTATTAGGTCAAATAGAAACAAATACCAAATGACACATTTGAACCAACAAGAATTGTTTGCAGTAATGCTGTTTAATCCAATTCTAGTCTATATAAGAATATTTTATCATCCATGTTCAAACTGTATGTTCTTTAAGAGGAAGTGAGGTAACACAATATGCTGATAATTGATTTTCATGGTAACATACAAGGTTCTCTAAAACGTTACACATCAACATATATTTGGAAAACACAATATTACGTTTGAAAAGAGTATAACGTATTATATAAAACAAATAAAACAATGACTATATTGAACCACTGATTTAAGGTGTACTACTTGAACAATACTACTAGTACTATTATCAGCATATGAGAATAGATTGACAATCACAAGAAAGGAGAAAAACATATTGTAAGATTATGTGATATATAAGACCTTGCCTATCAAACTTTTAACATCAACACGATATCCATCAGTTGTTGAAAAAGACACCTTAGCGTCGGTAACCATAAAATTCAATCTTAGATCAATACATTGTTCAGTACTTTGATAATATACATCGTCACGAATGGTATTCGTTGAAACTTCTGCATGCCATTGTACACATACAACATGAGTCATAACTCCTTGTGATCTCAACTAAGTGACCGAATTGATTAAATTCTATTTACTTTCAATCTTATAAAATGTATTATTACATTTCTTCCTTATCTAAAATTTTTTTTGTTGATCTATTATGTGTAGTTTTTGAATGACGTTCGATAGAACCGAATGTTATAAGTTTTTCTAAGATATTTTCTAAAGTTTTTTCAACCAAATTTAAAAAAAAAGGTATCGAACGTTGATCCCTTTTAACATAGAAAAAGTAAAAAAAATGTGATTTTTTTTATTACGAATGCCTGATCGTGTGTCGATCAAAAGTTACCAAAAAACTTCCTACCCATCTTTTTTTGAAATGAGCATCAATTTTCAATCTTTTTTGTAAAAATCATTGATACTATCTGTTTTTTATCTAAAGCTATTTCTTCTAAACGTATTTGGTAAGCTAAAGTGTTCATAATCAATTTTTCTATTATCCAAGTCATGACTTGAAAATTCTAATTTTTTACGATTGACCTTGGTCATTACACATTCTCCCTTCTCTTCGAAACAACTATGGAATGTTGTTATTTTTGGCTCGCTTTGTTTATGTCAGGATTGTCGCGATGTGTGTGTGGAGAATGCTTCTTCGATTGTCGTGCAAAGAAAAGAGACAAAAATAATTCATCAATAGTAAATTTAAGTGAGCACATGGAACAACATACTACTTCACAATTAAAAGAAAATTCATGAGAAGAATACTTTTCATATTTATATTTGCCAGACAAAAAATCTATCGACGAGCTCATGAATTCTAATCTTAAGTCGTACACAATTTTATGACTCGATCAAAATCTTAATTCAACAGAAGATAATCTTAAAACTCAGTCAAGTAATCAATCATCTTCAAACATGTGATAAAAGTGATGAATGTGAATTCTATCAGAATAGTATTCTTTTCTTTATTCATCTAAATATTTTAGATTAATAGCGTTTGCAGAAGATGAACATTATCGATGAGTTTGAAGAAAAATAATATAGTAGAAAACACCATTTAGTGGTATGTACTTGATTCATGTTTTTATCAAATGATAAATAAAGCATTGCGTTTACAAGATTTTGACATATTATTTGTTCCTCGATTCTTTATTTCTGATATTGCTAAACAAATCAAAAGTGAATGTATGAAAAATTTATCGTAGTCAAGTAATTGGAATTGATATATTTGAATTAATGGAGAATGGTATTGATCAGTTCTTTTTTATCAACAAGTCGCCATCAATTCGCCTGTTGTTCGTTTAGAGTACAAGAAGCAACACTTTCATCTAATCGTATTGCTCTTGCTGAAGATTATCATGACATTGAGACGACATATGATTTGCTTCGAAAAAATATTCTTATAATTAAAGACAACATAAAAAAATAGTGTGATATTCAGTTGAAGAAGTATAATCTTACATTCATTTACGTTAGTATCATATTCACGTACGATTAATCTTTGTTCACTTCTAATATCAACAATTACAATACATTATT